CAGACACAGAACAAATACTCACTCAGATCTTGTAATGTATGATCAAAAACATTAATTTTCTGAGCCACATAAGTCTATTCACCTGCTAAGTTGCATCATTAAAATATTATTTTCATTTCATGTCAAATTGTGCCACTGTCACTATTTATTCTGTAGTAATTCACAGCCTTGGCCCTTGTACTGTAGTTAGGACTGATAGAGATTGCGTATACGATCAATAACCAAGTTGTCCATTCACTGGTTTTAGGAAAGGAGTCTGTATTTGCTGATAAAAATGGATCTGCTATGTGGTTACAATTATGCCCTGGCTATGGCCTTGGGGATAAGTTGACCTTTTGTACATTTCTGCTCTTTTCATGCAAAATAACAACATGATCCAAATTTTCCATTTATCTCTTGCCTGGCTTGCATTCATACCAATCTGACTGGGCATCTGGATAGGTTCAAATAAATTGGCCCAATAGACTATGGCTGAATATATTTTCAAGTGCATGTATAGAGATTGCCAGACCACGTGACTTTCGCACATTGCATTGTGGGTACGAGCGGCAACAAAATCAAAACACTGCATCAAGCACTAGCATTTCCAGCACCGGATTTAATCCCTACTTGCATTTTATTTGGCCCAAAAACAGTTATGTACAAAACGAAGGAGAACACGGCAGGTCCGTACAAAGACAAACGTGACGAAAAGGCAAAGAAAAGTACGAGGAAAAAATCAAAAGCATACAGAACATACGAGCATACAGAGTGGTGTAAGGACATTAGCGTGCTGCCCAACTTTCATCACGCAGATATTTATTATTATATGGTCCTAAGTGTGAGTGCATACACTCACTTACTTACTCACTCACTTACTTTGGTGATTTGGACTATTCCATTTCACAGCTGTTGTTAATTTTCCCCCCTTTATCTCCTGTACAGGCCAACGCAATCTAGTTGTCGTTTCAGGTTGCAGTATTACACAACATTTTCAGATCTATTAGAAATAAAATTAGTGTTTTGTAATTCATTCAATTATTGTCTTTATTTATAACTGGCATTATTGTTTCGTTCTATTATAGAATCTTACAAGAAAGAGGCAAAATTGTACTCCATCACGGTTTATTAGCTGCTTCAGTGAAAAACAAATCAACAATGCAACAAAAATAACCCATTGCAAACCAACAAACTGGAAAACAGTTATTCATCACTTGATTGCTTCAATACAACACTTGGGCACATATATGCGGGACTTTTCGTGGCTGTTTTGATATCGCTCTCTCTCTCTCAAATCTCGCTGCGGTAGCAGCTTTAAACTCGGTATGACCCAGGCTGATAGAGGGGCCCAGTCTGGATCTCATTCCAGCATTTTGTAGGCTGGTTTTCCTACAAAACACAAGAAATAATAGCCCGCAAAGCCACAGTGAACAAAGCAGCATAGCGCAATGAATTCAATTCAAATCAATATAAGACTTGATTGTAACATACATCAACAATTATGTTATGATAAATTACGCAATAACTACAACAGAAGACTGACCTTTGTGGAAATGCTTGGAGCAGACTAACATGTGAGCTGGATGTTCTGGGACGTTATATTTGGTCTTCAAATGGCTGCAATCCAGGCCATCCGTCGGCTCTTTGTTACTTCGGAAACATGGCTTAAACAATTTCTCTTCCACGACGTAATCCGATAAAAAACGATCTCTTTACCCGTCGGCTTCCCGTGAGTATTATGCGACCGGCTATTGCAGTTAATAATACAACAGCTTCTTGCCATTCTTTGTGTTTCTTTTTATCGCTGTGTAACTGTTTTCACGTGAAAGCCTGCATGCGCTAGTACCGCTTGCCACTCGTACCCACAATCCTTTGCGGTTTTACCCCGAAATGACGTCACATTTTCAATCTCTTTAGAGCTCCATGCATGTGTGTGTGTGAACAACACCTGTTTCTTGGTTGACTATTGACCTCAGCAGCATCACTCAGGGCTCTGATCCACTCTTCCTGTTCTGCATAGCTGTCTGTGCTGAAATAGTATGTCCTGGTCCCGACATGCTCCACCTGAATGCAAAATCAAATAAACGCTTTAAATTGCCTTTTTCACTTTTCTCCTCTTCCTTCCACACCTGCAGAGTGAAACAAAGAGATGCAACACATTCAACTCAGTCTCAAACTGTCATGGTCTCCGTGCCTGCCCGGCCGGCCCCACGAAGCTACATGTGCTGTTTTGGTTCTCTCTCTCTCTGCCTGGGCGGAGCTTACTGTGGGCTCCCGCCCTTGGCCCACACACCTGACAACAATCACCTGTCATCACCAGGAGCACTATTTGAGGCTGGAACACAGATCCTCTCGTCGCTGGATGATTGTACTACTGACGTTAGTGTTTCTCGCAGCTCCTGTGAACTTGTGCTTAGTAATTTGAGATTTGTGATTAGTTTGTGACTTCCCTTCTTTTCTGCTGCAGACCTTCCTCCCCGGACCTGTGACCTCCCTGCCGTGTGAACGTGTGTGAGTGTGAGAGAGCTACCCTGTGATTCCCTGGAGTTTTGGATTCCCTTCACTGGATATACTGTGCACTGGTGCTGTAAATAAACTGTTTTTTGGAGACGTCTAACTGCTCTGCGCCTGAGTTCCTACAACCAGATTGTGACACAAACTATGACTGCTATCCTGCAGGCAGTAATTTTGACACTTATTATTTTTCTATAAATGTAATAATAAAAGCACATTAGTATTGGTAGCTGGCTTTTATGAATTATAAAATAAAATAACGTGGTTTTTTTTTTCTTCTTTTATTCTGAAACGCTCATGGGTTAGTGGTGCCACCATATTCCCAGAGTGTGGTTTTGTTTAATAATAAAATTAGAATGCAAACTAGTCCAAAGTGCTAATAGCTCAGTATTATCCTGGGTATAGTTTCTGATTAGCTTTGCTCAGTAGCATGCCAGAATCCTTACATGTTCTCTTGAGGTGAAAGTGAAACTTTATGAACTAAAGCAGGACGAAGAATAGAGATGACATGCAGGTAATAACTGAAAAAAATGACATGCAGTTCAGTGCAACAGAGATAATAGTGGATTCCTTGCAGGAAGTTCTAAATTAGAGTAAGACATAAAATATTAATGCTGTGATTGCACCCATTCCCCAACTCTCTGTGAATGGTACTCATGGCCATTGATCAGTTGTTGTTGATCAATGGTCATGCCAATTTGCATAATAATGATCAAGAACTGACCTCCCAGACCATGAATCATTCAGTGGGCTGGTTTCAGTCATTATGCAAATGTCCTGTTTATATTGTTGGAAACCTGCAGTCAGCTGAAACTGAAGAAGTCACTTGGATGAGTGACAAAATGTTTCTCCCACTGAAAACGCTACGTCCAGATGAACAGAAACAACTTTTGGGATATTAATGTTGTTACCAACTGCGTTTCCAAATAAAACAAAAAGACAAAGCCCTCGTGTGTGTAGATGAAAGTGGGAGGAAAAAAACACAGAGGGGAGGAAAAGATTAGCTGTGACAAAAGCCACCAGTCACTGCTCTTTATAAAATGCTGCACTATACTCTAGCTTCAACACACTGTGCACTATGGATCACAATGCTTTAAATAGCTACCAAATATTAATAATTGCTTTATCTAGTACTGTAGTTATTTCAAATAATGACATAATCAATCCATTTTTGCTACACAGGTAATTCTTCATATTTCAAGAAACTCATATCTGTCAGTCCAATTTAAATTCTGGGATGTAGATTTAGTGTTGGACACATTTTTCATACCTCCTTTTCATTTGCGGTTCTAATTTTAAAGCATACTGCCTGAAAACACAATGTGTGTGTGTGTAGAGAAGATGTCCTCTAATGTGGATAGAGGACATGATGTCACTCATAAACAAGAGTCATTTCCTTCCACGGTGGAACATCATGAGACTCCACCTCCAGCACTCACAGAGGGTGATGCAACTGTGTGAAATGGCTGAATATTAAGACGCAGCAGTAACCTAGCAACAGAGGTTGGGGCAGAGCATGTGTGTGCATGTACGTGTATGTATAACTCTTCTTTGCTGTCCTTTCTTTCTTTCTAAAGAGCAGAAAATGAAAGAAGGAGAAGAAGTTACTGATCCCTCCATTCTTTGCTCCTTTCTTAAATCATGAACATATTACTTACAATTATTGTATACTTTTTAAATCTACTGTATACTATTTGCTGTTATACTTACTACCAAAACTAACACAAAATGAAAATGAAAATGCATTTAGGCAAAGGCATTAGATTGGGAAGCAGAAAAAATTAAATAAATTAAAAAAAGGCTAAAAAGATGAGATAAGAAATGGAATGACAATAGAGCAAAAACATAGTAAGGTTTCCAGTTTCACGTTTCCTCACTGGAAACTTAAGACTGACCCATATGGAAAAGAAATAGTAAAAACATATATGATTTACTCATGAAAGTGGCCACTTTCTCATTACTTTCATATATTTTTTTAGTAAGTATACAAAACATACAAGTTTCATTATATAATTTTTCAAGGGATCTTATATCTGTTTTCGCTCTTGTATGCTTTTTATACAAGTTTCATACAAGACAGATAAAAACTTTATAAGATTTATATATATCTATATATATCCATATTCCATATGGGGAGAAACAATGAAAGATGGAAGAAAGGAAGAACAAATAGAGAAGAAACAAAGGAAAAACAAAGCCAATAAAGAAAATACTAAGGTGGCAATAATATGCTTCAGTGAACTAGAGATGAAGCAGACAATAGCACACTACATAAAACCTCTTCAAAAGTAGAAAAAAAAGAACCTGAATTAAACAAAAAATGTAATTAAACTTCAGCACTTTTTAATAAGAAGAAAAATCAGGTCAAATACTTATGGATGCAATTGTTTTTGTCTTTTATATAACAAAATGTAAATGCATCTATAAAATATTTCTGTGCCCTTCACCTTAGACCTAAGTACATTACTTGCATAAATGAAGCTCAATAAACAAAAAAAAATAAATTCCTAACCACTGAACACTCTGAAAAACACTAAAACCACAGTGCAGTCTAAGCCTGGTACGTCCTTGGGTTGGGTTTGAGCTCCTATAAAAGCAGTAAAATAACTTTCTTTTTTGTGGTTACAGCTAAATTTTCATTGTAGTCAGTGTTATTCAAATGAATGCTATTCACATTAAATAAATATTTTACTGATCCAACAAGGTGATAACAATGATAAACAGTAAAAATAGTATAGTCTACAATACACAACAACACAGCTGAAATGAAACACAGGCTCCTGGAATATGGTAAATGGACTAGTTCTTGTATAGTGCTTTTCTACTCTTCTGAACACTCAAAGCGCTTTACACAACGTGTGCTTTCACCCATTCACACCAGCACATTTTCTAAGTGCTTTCTAACTGACATTCACACACACATTCATACTCCGATGGATGCATCTGGGAGCAATTCGGGGTTAGTATCTTGCCCAAGGATATTTGGCATGCAGACTAGGAGAAGCCAGGAATTGAACCACCAACCTTCTGATCAGTAGATGACCTGCTCTACAGCCACCCCTTGTACTATGAGAGAGTGCAGGAATATATATATTGACAAGAGTGATAGACAAAGTAAGCTAATGCTCACAAGAAATATACAAATCTCTTCTGACTACAATTACTAATACTAGTATAGTAGCACTTCACCACAAATCAGAAGGGCAGGAGAATATTGGACAGGGTAGCAATAGAGCTAATATTCGGAAACAGAAAGTGTACTCATGTTACATAAAAAGGAATTGAATATTAGATACAGTTATTTTGTCAAATCATAAAGATAGGGGTGGCAAAAGTACAGAAATTATTTACTTAAGCTGAAGCATAGATACGTGCGTGAAAAAAGACTCCAGTAAAAGTAAAACTACAGCTAAATAAACCTAATGCTGTATTAGTCCATGGGAATACAAACTTTTCCTTTTACTTTGCCCCCACACCTGAACAGGAAACTTAATATATTAGAGCAATAAAGTGGTTTTAGTGGGAGGGAAAATCTTCAGTTTGGTTGTAGTGACACAGTATAGTGAAATGATCACAAATAAAAATAATTTCTTTTGTGAGTTCAAATGGATTTTATTTTGTTCACAGTCTGTGATCAACGGATCAGCTGTGATCATGAAACTACTTAAAGGTTTACTGCTCTTAGTGGAACTGAATTCAATAAGATAAAAGCAGCTTAGCTCAATTCCATTCCCTACACTTACAATATACTGTTTATGCTGTTTTTACTAGACAGAATAAACAGTATTGAATTCTGTGAATAAATCTAAGCATGTTCAGTTTAAATTCGAATACATCTGAGCTACACTGACTATGAACACCACAGCCACTGTGGACCAGTCTAACACAGTCCTTTACTGTCATGGTACTGGGTCTATGATCCAGTGTTTCTGTTCCTTAGGTTTTTACTGGTATTGTTTAGGTTTCTACTTTAATCATTTGGATTTCTAGTTGTTTTATTATTCTGCTCAGATTATATTGATAGATTCTAATCCCTACGTTTCTGTTACTGTGCTTCCCCTGTATCCTACGTTTCGTATCTAGTCTCGCTTGTCTTCATGTTCGTTTATCTCCTGTATCTGTTTCTGTGTTTTCTTTCTGTCTCCCCAGTCAGCTATGTTCTTAAGTCTGTTGAAGATGGAGAACCACCTTCAGCAGAATAATGTCAGTAAAGTCTGGAGAGGTCTTAGAACCATCTCGGGCCACAAAGATCAAAACTCTCTGCCTGTGGGGGATGTGAGGCGGACAAATGAACTGACTCTTTTCTTTAACAGGTTTGATTCATCCAGGATGCAGTCTCCAACATCGGCTGCAGACTCACCCACCCCCACTGCTGCTGTTCCACCTCTGAAACCTCAGCCACTTCACACCTCCTCCACTCACCACAGGCACTACTCCCCATCCCCAACAACAGCACCCAGTACACATCCTGCACAAGATTCCTGCCTGTCTCTCTCAACTACCCAGGTTAGGAGTGAACTGAGGAGGATTAAAGCCAAGAAGGCAGCGGG